CTCACGGGTTCATGAGTTCGAGCCTTGCATTTGGGTCTGTGCTGACAGCTCAGAGCCTGGAGCCTGCTTCGGATTCTGCGTCTCCCTCTTTGACCCTCTCCCATTTGCACTCTCTCTCTCTCCCTCTCTAAGATATATAAACATTAAAAATAAATAAATAAATAAATAAATAAATAAATAAATATGTTCTTATTAATCTATAATTGATATATAATTCTATATTCCTTTCAGGTGGGCAACATAATAATTCACTATTTGTATTTATGGGAAAATAATCATGACAATAAGTCTAGTTAGCATTATTGCCATGCATAGTTACAGAAATTCCTTTTCTTTGCGACGAAAGCTTTCAAGATCGACTACCTTAGCACCTTTCCAATATGCAATACAGTACTCTCACTGTAGTCACCATGCTGTGCGTTACATCCCTGTGACTCATTTATTTTTTTTTTCGTTTCTTATTTTCATTTCTTGTTCTACTAATAGGAGTGAGATAGATCGAAGGCTTTGTTGGTGATAATTTTCATTCATTTTCAACTTTATTTTTATTTCAATGTATTTTTTACTGAAGTATAGCTAACACACAAGGTTACATTTGGGTGTACAACGTAGTAATTTGACACTTTTACGCTATGTGTAATTACCAGTGAAGTTACCATCTGTCACCACACAACACTATTGCAATACCACTGACTGTATTCCCCTTGCCGCACCTTTCATCCCCATGATTTATTCATTCCATAACTGGAAGCTTGTATCTCCCACTCTCCTCCACCCATTTTGCCCCCTCTACCACCCTCTCCCCTCAGGGAACCATCGGTTTGTTCTCTGTACTTTGGGGTATGTTTCTGTTTTTCATTTGTTTGTTCTATTCTTTACATTCCACATAAAATTGAATTCTTATGCTATTTATTTTCCTTTCCGGACTTATTTTCCTTAGCATGAATCCCATTAGGTCTACCCATGTTGTTGTAAACGTTGCAAAAGGCAAGATCTCATTCTTTTTACGGCTCAGGAATATTCCATTATAAATAGATAAATATATACATACATAATATATCGCATCTTTTATATCCATTCATCTATCAATGGGCACTTAGGTTGCTTCCATCTCTTGGCTACTGAAAAAATGCTGCAATAAACATAGAGGTGCATGTGATGTTGCAAAGTATTTTTTTTTTTTTTTAATTTTCTTTGGGTGAATACCCAGCGTAGCATTACGGAATCATATGGCATTTTTATTTTTACTTCCTTGAGGAATCTCCATAGTGTTTCTACAGTGACTGCACCAATTTATATTCCCACTAACAGTGCACAAGCGTTCCTTTTTCTCTACATCCTCATTTTTTTAAGGCTTTCCAAAAGTTTTCAATGTTCAGTCAAGGTTAAGAACCACTAACCCGGAATAATTAGATAATTAGATAATTGTTATAGATTACTGAAAAAGGGCAAAAGTGTCATTTGCATGTAAAATGAAATCTTTTCACACACTTTATAAAGTGTATATATATATATATATATATATATAAATATATATAAAATTATATATATATTTATATATATATAGTTGACCTTAAAAATATGTATGTGCACACACACACACACACACACACACATAAATGGATACAAATATATCATAGAACAAACAATTATTTTCCTGTCCCCATGCCCCAGCCAACCTGCAAAATAAAACCTTTTTCCCCTCAGAAATATTCAGAGAAAACATGTACATTTTTCTATTTCTCACTCTTACCATCACAGGAAGAGTTACTTATCTGACTGGTAAGCTTTTAATCATTCTCCAGATTTACCTCCCTGCCCTCCCACGGCATTATATTTCTCTGAATATGTTCTCAATCCCATGCTTGTCTGAGGTCAAGAGGACATTTTCATCTTAAATGAATAAATTATTATATACGACTCTCCATCACTCACCCATGCATGCACACTGGAACGTGACAGAAGGAGGTATACAAAGGGGAGATATTAAGTCTGAGTTTATGCAAAAGTAGTGGGGCCACCAAAAGAAAGAGGTGACACGGTGGAAGGAGAGGTGACATTGGATTACTTTGGATCATTTTGAGTTTGAGATATTGGAAGGCAATTGGAAATGAGGACTTGCACTCCAGGAAGTGGGCCAAGATCGAGGATTCCACTTGGAATCCAGGCCCAAAGCCATGATTAATAAAATTATGGTTAAAGTTAGGACAGTAATCAAACATATTTCAAATGCATACTACTTAATTACTTAGAACTGGCATCTATCAATAATGGTAACAGAAGGAGCGCCTGGGTGGCTCAGTCGGTTAAGCATCCAACTTGGGCTCAGGTCATGATCTCCTGGTTTGTGAGTTTGAGCCCCGCATTGGGCTGTGTGCTGACGGCTCAGAGCCTGGAGCCTGCTTCGGATTCTGTGTCTCCCTATCTCTCTGCTCCTCCCTTGTTCATGCTCTGTCTCTCTCTCTCTCTCTCTCTCTCTCTCTCTCAAAGATAAATAAACATCAAAAAAAACGTTTTGAATAACAATGGTAACAGAACAACTCAACATTCAAAAAAGTTATAGCCCAGGGAAGTTGTCACCAAGTTTGAGAACATCATCGTAAGCATATACTTTTCTTTATAAAATACAGCAGCCTAACGAAATATCTGTTATTCTTTCACGACTTTACTGATGAATATTTCATGAGTCTAGTGTACCTAACTGAATAGCTCCATTTTCTTTCCAGACATATTTCTATTATTTAATCACATACACCACAAGACACCACAACTTTTAATATCCCATTTTTCAATTAATCCATAAGTTGACTACCTATAAAATTGTTTTTCTGGCTAAGTGAGTCCTATACCTACAAGAGTCATGACAATCAAAAGTTAAATCTCACCAAACTTAGAGATTACGCCATAACTCATACCTTGGTGACTTACTTTGGGCAAGGAGAGAAGGCAGAGATTATTAATATCAAATGTGGGGGTTGCTACATGGCTCAGTTGGTTAAGCATCAGACTCTTGGTTTGGGTTCAGGTCATGATCTCGTGGTTTGTGAGTTGGAATCCTGCCTCAGGCTCTGCTCTGACAGCAAGGAGCCTGCTTGAGATTTTCTGTCTCCCTCTCTCTCTGACCCTTCCCTGCTGATTTGAGCACTCTCTCTCTCATAAATAAATAAACATTAAATATATATTTATATATATTTATATAATCATATATACAATATATATTAATTAAATATATAATATTTATCATATATATATAATGTTATATATATATATATATAACTGTAAATTCCAAGGATTTATTACATAAATTCTCCACCTGCTAGGATTTTTTTTTTTTTTAGTTTTAGCTGGCTGAATCTCTGATGATATTTTTTATACGAATAGAAGTCTACTTTTTAGTCAAAACCGATTGCTCTCATTCTGGAAAAATGTTAAGAGTTCGGTAATAAAATTCAGTGTAGCCTTAACTGTTTTGGTAATCCAATGCATAATTATTAAGTGTCTGTTATGTTTCAAGCATAGATTGAGTAATGGGTATAACAAAGAAGAAGAAGAAAATGTGATTCTCACCCTCAAAATCTAGAAGGCATTATTGTAGTATACCATGGACTTCAGACTGTTTGACGTAAGTTCAAATCCTCACTCTAAAAATGTGTGGTCATGCAACCATCTTCGTATAACCTCTCAAAGTCAGTTTTTCATGTATAAAATTCAGCTCAACATATAGAGTTTTAGAACATCCCAAGAAAGAGAGAGTGTCACAGTGGTCATGAGGTCAACGTATAGCCCATCCTGGGTCAGAAGCCTTTTGAGTCAGAAACCATGAGGGAACCCTCGATGCCAGAAAACCAAGATCTATTCTCTAGCTATTTGGTTAATATAGGTAAAATCCTTGGATCGAAGGGATTAAGGATGACTGCAGTTTAAATAATTCCATGCAACGTATTTGGGTGAATATTGAGGAAACCAATTCCTTCCGGTACAGAAGCCCATTTAATCTACTGCTTATGAACTAAAGCTTTCTGTCATTTTTCATATCTGGCATTTCTGACCTCTGAGTCTTATGAGAATTTCACAGGTAGTTGGGCTCTCTCCTCAGTTATTTCCCTATGAATATTCTAGACGTCACTTTCTTCTACTTTGTTTCATCAATGATGATATCTCTATCTTCCACGAACTGACTGATTTTTTTTTCCTTATCTGTTAGAACTCACTTCTTTTTTGTTATTGTTTGAGACTTTTACATTTTTATTCCTTTAATATAATTTTAGTGTAACTTTAGAAAAAACAGGAGATCAAAATTTACGTTTTATACATTGCATTCAGCAGGAAATTTCTATGAACCTTGTTTAAACATAAGATTTATTTTCTTCAAGGATATAACCTTGAATTATTTTGACATAGAATTTATTTCTGTGCCTTAAATATAATTATCAGCTTGGAAATCCTCTGCATGATCCATGTTTTAACTCAGTTTGATGCTCATATTATAAAACATAGAAAAGAAGGAATAGATCTAAGGGAATTTTTACCTAGGTGAAAAAGGTATTACCTAGGTAAATGCGATGCATTTCAAGATGAGAAGTCTATCAGTTATTTCTATCACATCCATTATAAAATCCCTCGTTTTCAGGTACCGGGGTGGCTCAATCGGTTAAGTGTCTGACTCCTGATTTCAGCTCAAGTCATGACCTCATAGTCATGAGATCAAGCCCTGTGTTGGGCTTGGCGCTTTCAGCGCGGGGCCTTCTTGTGATTCTCTCTCTCCCTCTCTCTCTGCCCCTCCCCTGCTCATGCTTTCCCTCTCTCTCAAAATAAATCATTCTTTTTCTTTGTCCTCCCTTCCAAATTGCTATTCCACTTTGGAGAAAATGCTGAATGGTCACAGAATTTCTGCCAGAGAATATATGTCTGAACTAAAAGAGGAAGTAGTTTATAGAAGAAAAAATGGCAGGAGGTCATCCGTGGTAATATCAAAAGTGAAAACTGTTCCAAATTTAGGCAGAAAACTAACTGTAGAGCAAGAAACTCCCGTACGAATAGTAGTTTTCTTCCCTATCGTGAAGTGTTTGGAAATCTCTTGTCTTGATTGGTAAGACTGAACACATTGCTTTGTCACTTATTCATAGAAGAAACCCACCAAATTTGGGAGAGCAAAAGAAAATTGTTCATCTCAGTTTGTTTGACTTACCGGAAATGTATTTGCAGAACTATGAAACTCCCTTAGCAGAACATCATTTTTCGTCTCTCTGTTTTTAATATGTGCAATGGCTGGAGATATAATCTACGCGGATATTAAAACTGATGGGGCTTTTTCTCTAGGAAATTCATCTTCGCTTCAGAAATCTGGTAAGTTGGATTTAGGGGTCCTTCTAAAATTAATATTCTACTTCTAATCTCCTTTATTTCTGTCCTGTGCTTGTATATGTCTTACTAAAAAATAGAAAAATGCAAGGATAAGAGTGAATGTTTTTAGTGAAACAAATGTTCATAAAGTTAATTGTAATTTATGCTTTTCTTTTTCAAATTTTTATAAATTCCACTTAGTTAACATCCAGTATAATATTAGTTTCAGGTGTAGAATTTAGTGATTTTTCACTCACATATAACACCATGGATGGAGTTGGAGAGTGTTTTGCTCAGTGAAATAAGACAGTCAGAGAAAGACAAACACCCTGTGATTTCACTCATATGTGCAATTTTAAAAAACAAAACAGATCAACATGGTGGGGGGAGTGGAGAAAAAAGGCAAACCAGGAAACAGACTCTTAACTATAGAGAATAAATTGAGGGTTACTGGAGGGGAGGTGGGGTTGGGGGTATGGGTTGAATGGGTGATGGATATTAAAGAGGGCACTTATGATAAGCACTGGGTGTTATATATAATTCTATTCTTAATACACAGAACTTCGCTTTCGGCTTTTGTAAACTTTCGATTCTTTGCATTTCTTGCAGTGAACATTTATACTCATACAGTGACATCTGTACTCATGACCCCTTTTTTCTCTACACTTTATATGCCTCTGATTAAACCTGCCCTTTTAATATAGAATGATACATTTATTTATACAGAGGGGGAAAATTCCTGGCTACTATTCACATTGTTAATTATCTTTTTGAAACTTGCAAATTGATAGGGCAACAATGTTAAACTAAACTAAGGAGACATGAAATGCTAGTATTTTATTTCATGAAGTTTAGAATTAGTGACTATTGAGTAATAGAATATTTTTGGAATATGAAGAGATAGGCATATAGCTAAAGATAACATTGCACCTTAATCACAAACCACTCAGAACTGATAGATTTTAAAATTCAATGTGTCTTTTATCCTCCAAAGTACTAGGGAAAATTTCATGTTGCATTTCCATTCTTTTCTCTAGGATAGAGGTTGATGGGGGGTGGCAGGGAGGGGAAAGTGGGTGATGGGCATGAAGGAGGGCACCTGTTGGGATGAGCACTGGGTGTTGTATGGAAACCAATTTGACAATATATTTCATATTAAAAAATAATTAAAAATAATAATAATTAAAAAATAGTTTATATAAAATATTTATGTAATTTAAAATCTCATTGCGTTTGCCCTTGTAGAATGAATATAATGTATGATTTTCTATATTTCCACAGAATGTATTTCTTCTTTTATATTTTTAAATTTGTTATGAAATGAAACTGATGTGTGATTTTCTCCGATTGCAAAAGCATATTATTCCCTACTTTTAAATGTCACCTCTCTAACTTGCCCAATAGAAGCTTATCTGCTTTCTTTTCTCCCTACACTGGGTGCTTTCTTTTTCGATGAGAAGATAGAACTTAATTTGAAAAATAATGTGTAATAGAATTGCATTCTTATTCTCCCATTGTGAAAATTCTCACACTATTAGTCCATTTTTCTAGCATTATTTTAACTCACTTCAAGCAACAAAACCAGTGTTTTCAATTCTACATTCCAGGGTTTGATTTCCTTTTTGCTTACAGATAGAACTTTACTTCTCTCCACGTTTAGAGATTTGGAGATAACATCTTTAATGCCATCTAGTTCAATATTCCAGTATTAAAGAGAGAAAACATAAATATATAAAGATTAAATTACTTACCCACAATGGTGCTTATGACCAGAAATCAAATATTTTATTACTCTTTCACTGCATATCCCTAGTGTTGGATAAATACAACTTCTGTTCTCATGTGCCATATCACAGTAGAGGGAAAAAATTATTTGGTACACTGAATTGTCATGTCCTCTAGAGCCCTACATATGATATGTCAGGTTCTTAGTCTTCTTCTAACTCCGTATGTTTTACTTAATTTGCTCTGGCTATTGTCTTTCTCTTTGCTCCTTAAAGTTACCATATTCCTTACTTCTTTAGAGCCTCAAAAATGCTGAGACCCTGTCCCTAATCTCTTAATCTTTGCATCCCCAACACCTCACATAGTACCAAGTACCTAACAGGCCATCAGTAGATGCTTGGTAAGTGGATGAATGTATAAATGGATAAATAAATAAATGGAACTCATGAGACACTCAATAGATATTATAGGTTCATTTGTTCTTTAAGATATAAAACAAAGAGGGTGGTCATGATGAAATTGAGCTGAAGTGAAAAAGTGAAAAAGTATGATGCCACTGAGAATATCCCAGGCTAAAATTGAGAAATTCACACTTTTGGTAAATCGTACCTTGAGGGTCAAAAAAATGAGCTAATATCCCTTATGTCAGTCCCTTCACAAAATCTGAAATTTTATTCTGTAAGTTTTTAGGTCTGTAACCTGAAACATGTTATGAAAAACATGTCTATTTTATATTAAAAACGGGTGTAGGGATACCATCACATTCTTCTTGAGATTATACCTTGACTGGCACCATTCTCATTGTTCTACATGATAAATGAAAATACACAGCCTTTTTTATCTTCTGACAATTAAAATCCCACTAAAGATGTTTTATTCAATAACAGTAAGAATTTGAACATAGAACAAAGCACTCTGTAATGATAGACCACTAAATAAGCATTCAGGTTAACCGGTCTTGATGCTTGACTTTGTAATTGGTTATGTATCAACATTAATTATTTTATTACTTTCTCAGTGTATATATCATCTATCTAGTGGAATTGATATGCTGCAATTATTTTGCATTAGAGATGGCCGGTTTAATTATCAGCCAAAGCTAATAAGTCCTTTTTTTGTGATTTATTATTATCTTTTGACTACTCCAAAGACAATGAGATAGAGTGAACAGCAAACCAACCACTGGTTTGGTAGTCAGTCAAGAGAGCTGAGGCCTGATCTCAGCTCTGTCATCAAATAACTATGTGGCTGTGGACTTGAATATACCCATTAATGTGCAGATGTTGGCTGAGGTAATCTCTAAGAGTACTTTATTTTAAAATACACAGTTATGTACCACAGTATGTAGGCATGTTACATGAGAGAAAAGAATGGATCAATCCACATCAGTGGGTGCTGTCAATAAACTTATTAGAGAATCTGGAGAGTCTCAGTCTTATACAAAAATTTAGGACTGCACACAGTAGATCATTGTAATGCTGTGGAATAAGTGCAATGAACCCACAAACAAAAATTCATACCCATTCAAAGTTTTATAAGTCCCCTCCTCACAAACCAGAAAAGTATATACGTTCTGCGTGAGTGCGTATGTGTGTGTGCATGCACCCGCAAAAAAGAAACGGGGTCTATATATTTCAAAGAAGAGTAACTTAGAAGCATGATAACCAAGAAAATTTATTGAGCCCCCTCTTACCTCTCACCATATACGGAAATATCTGCTGGAGTTACTATCCAATTTTATCTCTCCAATCTATCCAATTTTGTAGATACTCACCATCATGGAATTTTCTTGAAAGTTGGATGTGCAATTATCATCATCCTTCTTGTAATAGTAATTGTGTTGAGCATTTTGGGTAAGTAATTATCAGTATTATTCATTTATCCTGAAGTATTTTTCTCTAGTGACCTGTTGTAATTGTGTTTGCTGTTCAATGGTTCCCTAAACAATGCAGTACAACTTCACAAAAAGTATGAAGTTTGAAACAATTAAAATGAAAGATTCTCCATAGAACTTCAGTATGTGATATAATTGTGGATTCTTTTCATTGATAAAAGAAACAAATGTCAAGAATATATTTATATTTTATGATTGAACTGCACAATGCAGTTTAATATTGAGCTATATACAAGCTGCTCTAAAACTATTTTCCGATGAAAGGAAATTAAATTTATAAGTTTAAATTTGCAAGTTTATTCACATGAGCTAGTCCTGGGCACTATCAATCTTAAATCAATAGGTGAAAACATTTCCTAATAAACCATTTAAAAATTCTACTCATGTACTTTGAACATAACTGAGAATAATCCAATTATTCATATGGCAAATATTTTTAATTGTTGAATAAATGCTTGGAGAAAAGTTCTTCACAAATGTCTATAGAACTAAGGTAACACACAGAGTGTATATATTGCAAGGAATCCAGGTTTCCAGATTAAATCAAACTCTAAAACAGGCCAAGGCATACCTGCCTACATCAAGAATCCTTGTAAATGGTATTAGCAATTATGAATGGCCTTGGAAGTTATGAAGAAATAGGCACAGTGATAGAATTCCAGAATGGGAAAGACCTAGAAGTCCAGGTCGAACCTCTAGTTGAGATGCACACCCAAAACCCCAGAAAGATCAGTTGTTTCATTAGTTTAATATAACTAGTCTGTTGTCTAATTGCAATTGCAGCTATAAAATTAGGGAGGAGGGAAACAAAAATAATTAGCATTAAAAACCTATTCTATATATGTTTTATGTTAAGCTAATAGATTTGTTTGTTACTAAAACATCAGTTTGTCAATAAAACGTATTTTTTACCAATAGAATTGTTACCAAAATAGATTTTAAATATTTAATTGCTTAATACACATTATTATGAAATTATAAATTACAAAGGTAATTTCGGTTCAATGGCCATCAGAAAGACAGGAAATATTTGTCATTGTAGAAAAAGTACTCCGGGCTCACCCTATACTTCTATAGATAGCATTTACATGCAAAGTATTGAAACAATTATGAACCAGATCAAAACATATAAAATCTTTTCCCTGAGGGGAGCCTGGGTGGCTCAGCTGATTAAGGATCTGACTCTTTTTTCTTTTTTTTTTTTTAAGTTTATTGATTTATTTTGTGAGAGAGAGAAAGAACATGAGTAGGGGAGGGGCAGAGGGAAAGAGAATTCCAAGCAGGCCTGTGCTGTCAGCACAGAACCAGACTCAGGGATCCATCCCACGAACCATGAGATCATGACCTGAGATCATGACCGTGAGATCATTTCTTGACCATGAAATCAAGAGTCGGGCAGTTAACTGACCGCACCACCCAGGTGCCCCGAGCATCTGATTCTTTGACTCTTGATTTTAGCTCAGGTCATGATCTCATGGTTCATGAGATGGAACCCCAATTCTCTCCCTCACCCTGCCCTTCCCCTACTCGCATGTGCATGCACACACTCCCTTTCTCTCTCAAAATAAATAAATAAACTTGTAGAAGAAAATAAAATCCTTTCCCTGAATCAGGTGACACTTGATTGAAACAAGTGTCCTTAACACTTGATATAATTGTGTTTCATTAAACGCAAACTCTCCAAATGAGGCTTATATCCATGGCTGGTTATTTTGTGCTTATTAAAATAAGTATGGAGCTTCCAGGAAAAAATCAGGTGAACAACATCTGGTCCCAGATCATATCTTTTCATTTTCACCAAAGTTAACATTAATAAGGTTAAGAGTCCAAAGGAAAGGCCAAATCTTGGGGAAAATAATGTTGTTTTCCCCCTTAGAATGTTAATTATTTAAGTTCCTATAGAGTTTCTACATGATTGAACTTTAGTCACTAGAACCCAATGGTTTTGTGGTTTTTTTATTTAGTTAGGGAAATATGTTTCTTCTTTCATCAGTTTCCCAGTTCAATTCTGCAAGACATAATACAACGGATGATGAATCAAAAGAGAAATTCTGTGCCGGGGAAAATAAATCTGGAACAGTCGCCTCAATAGGTAACATTACTATATATTGTCTAATCCCTGAGTAGCCAGGCATTGACAGTAGCTTTGGTTTTTCCTGAATATATCTGAATAGAAACGTTCCTCTGCACCTGCAGAGGTATGGTTGAGATCATTACTTTCTATAGACCCATTGTAGTCCATGACAAAAATACTCAGAGTTACAAGGCAAAGGAGAAAAATGAGCTTATATAGAGTTCTAACTAAATGTAAAGGTATTTCATTGAAATACTTGCATTTTATTCTTTATATTTCTATTGGGGCATGTGCGGATGTACAATGTGATCAAAATATTTTCCTTTTTAAAGTCCATGATTATCTAAGGTAGTTTTTTTTCTTACCAGGTGATGTTATTAAATGCAAAATAATTATAAATGGTAATCTTACGTTGGTCTTTCTCTTGCTGTCTCATATGAATGTATTTGCATTCTTTTATTTCTTTAAAGTTTATTTATTTTTGAGAGAGAGAAAGCGAGAGGGGGAGAGGAGCAGACAGAGAGGGAGAGAGAGAATCCCAAGCAGGCTGCGCACTGTCAGCCCAGAGCCCCACGTGGGACTCGAACCCACGAACCGCGAGATCATGACCTGAGCCGAAGTTAGACACTTAACCAACTGAGCCACCCAGGCGCCCCTGCATGCTTTTAAAAGTCAAGAAAACACTCAATTACTTTTAGTCTTTCTGCTTTCTATTTTCCAGAGACCTTATTACATGTTTAAATCTATTAATTTAATTTTAACTATATACCATTCTTCTTCTGAACATCCAGGTAGAATTCTATTAGAAAGACTTACCAGTCCATAATACAGAGTACATTCAAATTCTGAGAATTCATTAAAACGTTAAACTGGATTTTGATATTTCCAAGCCCCCTTGACCACATTCTAAAAGCTGTCTGATACAACCCATGTTAAATTTTTTTTTTTAACTGGTGTGACGCTGAAGGAAAATTTTGTGGGATGCCATCTCCAGAGCAAGAGTACTATAATGTACTATGCTGGGGACACAGGTCATACTAGTGTTATTAAATAAAGCTCTAGCCTTAAATTTTGTTAGACTTGTTTTCTAATCCTCATCCTATTGCTATAGATGTATGTCACCTCTCCTAGATTCCTAGATCAATTCATCAGGAAAGAACATCAATTCTAAATTTGATCTTAATAAAATAATAAAACTTAAAATATGTAAAATAAAAATAGATCTGTTCAGCCATCAATTCTAATTTTTTTGTCTACCTTCTATTTTCTTTCTAGAATTTAAATTAGATGTGCAATAGGCTTACCCTCCATTTCTCTTAGCATCCCGTTGTGTCCTCAAAGTTATCGATTTGTGCCGAAGGCAATGTTTTCAGACATGTTTTGCAGTCCACACATGCTCTCTTTTCCTGGGTCTACACCACAGACTCATTCATGGAGTCTGATTTCAGGGATTACAGTGTTCAATTCTAAGGACTTAATTTCTTTTTTTTTTTTTAATTTTTTTCCACGTTTTTATTTATTTTTGGGACAGACAGAGACAGAGCATGAACGGGGGAGGGGCAGAGAGAGAGGGAGACACAGAATCGGAAACAGGCTCCAGGCTCTGAGCCATCAGCCCAGAGCCTGACGCGGGGCTCGAACTCATGGACCGCGAGATCGTGACCTGGCTGAAGTCGGACGCTTAACCGACTGCGCCACCCAGGCGCCCCATAAGGACTTAATTTCAATCACACTTGTGTTAGCTTTCAATAGTCTCCTGTTATCTGATCATTTTTCTACTTATTCTTTTATTCTTTAAATAATTTAAAACATTATGATTTTTGATACATATGATGAATTAAATATCTAAAGTCTTTGGTGACCAAATCTGCTGTTTGTGTATCCTGCAACGTGGCTTGTTTTTTAAAGCATTTGATATGTTTTTATTCTAATTTGAATGACTTCAATTGATGGAATTTCTAAAAGAAAAATACTTTCTTGCAAAGATTGGTTGCATTTTCATCTGCGGGGAGGGAGTGAGGGGCTAACGGTTAAATGACTTGAGGTGCTTTTGAAGACACTGGACTGGGGTTCCTGGGTGGCTCAGTCGGTTAAGCATCCCACTTCAGCTCAGGTCATGATCTCACGGTTTGTGGGTTCAAGTCCCAGTCAGGCTTTGTGCTGACAGCTCAGAGCCTGGAGCCTGCTTCAGATTCTGTGTCTCCCTCTATCTCTGCCCCTCCCCCACTGACGCTCTCTCGCTCTCTCTCTCTCAAAAATAAATAAATGTTAAAAAAAAAAATTGAATAAACTGGACTAACCAGATTCTCACTGGCTCACTCTATCACTTTTCAGCAAACCCAAGGTCTGGATTTAGGACCCTAGAACTGATATAAATCATTAGCTTTGAATTAGGGAGGATACTTGTTGGGATAAGCACTGGGGGTTATATGTAGGGGATGAATCACGGGAATCTACTCCTGAAATCATTATAGCACTATATGCTAACTAACTTGAATGTAAATTTAAAAATAATTTAAGGGGCGCCTGGGTGGCGCAGTCGGTTAAGCGTCCGACTTCAGCCAGGTCACGATCTCGCGGTCCGTGGGTTCGAGCCCCGCGTCAGGCTCTGGGCTGATGGCTCAGAGCCTGGAGCCTGTTTCCGATTCTGTGTCTCCCTCTCTCTCTGCCCCTCCCCCGTTCATGCTCTGTCTCTCTCTGTCCCAAAAATAAATAAAAACGTTGAAAAAAAAATTTTAAAAAAATAAAAATGAAAATAAAAATAATTTAATACAAAATACACATAAATGAAAAAGTAAAATTTTAAAAAAGTAAAACTTTCAGTATTTCACCATTAAGTATAATACTTTCTGTATGTTAATCAGATTAAGGAAGTTACTTTTATTCCAAGTTTGCTGATAGTTTTTATCATGGATGGGCCCTGAATATCGTTCAAATAAATAAATAAATAAATAAACACATACGTGTTAAGATATCAATAAACAAATAAATGATTAGCTTTGAGGGCAACCTTGCTTTATGAACTCGTTTATGGAAATGCTTCCTATTCGGCTTCTAGCTAAGTGCCTCCCTTCAGCAACTTTCCTTATTTCTTACGAGCGAAGCAATACTTTTATTTTCATTTTTATTTTCATATTTTAGAGAGGGAGAGAATGAGACAGCACAAGTGGGAGAGGGAGAAAGAGAGAAAGTATCTCAAGCAGCGCAGAGCCCTATGTGGGGTGCGATCCCACAACCCTGAGATCATGACCTGAGCTGAAATCAAGAGTGGGATGCTTAATTGACTGAGCCACCTGGGCTCTTCTAAGCAATACTTTTTTATCTAATTCTTTTAGGATATAATTATCTTCTAGAAAAGTATCTTTAAAAGAGAGTTTTTTCAACACTGTGCCTTAGCATTTGTATGCCTTAAGCTTCTTGAGCTATAAAGATCTAGGTGACTAATTGGTAAACCATAGACTTTTATTTTTTTATCTTGCTACATTTCAGAAATTTTTTTTATATTCCATAATATAGAAATGGTTAAGAAGCACTGGTTCATACTATCTGGTCAAAGTATCTACTATTAGAAATATAGAAGTACAAATATAGTAATTTCTTATTAAATGTATCCTTAAAAGTCCTAGTTGCATTGTTGCTGGTGTCTTTTTTTAAAAATATAATTTATGGTCAGCTAAAATACACTGTATACAGCATGCTCTTGGCTTTGGGAGAAGATTCCCATGATTCATCGGTTACATACAACATCCAGTGCTCATCCCAACAAGTGCCCTCCTCAATGCCCATCAACCTTCCTCCCCCGCCATCAACCCTCAGTTTGTTCTCTGTATTTAAGAGTGTCTTATGGTTTGCTTCTCTCTCTGTTAGGAACTATTTTTTCTCCTTTCCTTCCCCCATGGTCTTCTGTTAAGTTTCTCAAATCCCACATATGAGTGAAAATATACGATATCTGTCTTTCTCTGACTGACTTATTTCACTTAGCATAATACCCTCCAGTTCCATCCACGTTGTTGCAAATGGCAAGATTTCAGTCTTTCTCATTGCCAAGTAGTATTCCATTCTGTAGATATACCACAACGTCTTTATCCATTCATCAGTAGATGGACATTCGGGGTCTTTCCATAATTTGGCTATTGTTGAAAGCACTGCTATAAACATTGGGGTACACATGCCCCTATGCATCAACATCCCTGTATCCTTTGGATAAATTCCTAGTAGTGCTACTGCTGGGTCATAGGGTAATTCTATTTTTAATTTTTTGAGGAACCTCCACACTGTTTTGCAGAGAAGCTGCATCAGTTTGCATTCCCACCAACAGTGCAGAAGGGTTACTGTTTCTCCACATCCTCGCCAACATCTGTTGTTTCCTGAGTTGTTAGTTTTAGCTGCTCTGACCGGTGTGAGGTCGTATCCCAATGTGGTTTTCATTTATATTTCCCTGGTGATGAATCATATTGGGCATCTTTTCATGTGTCTGTTGGTCATCTGGATGTTTTCTTGGGAAAAGTGTCTAATCATGTCTTCTGCTATTTGTTTTCGGGGTGTTGAATTTGGTAAGTTCTTTATAGATTTTGGATACTAACCTTCTATCCAGTATGTCATTTGCAAATATCTTCTCCCATTCTGTCCACTGCCTTTTAGGTGTGCTGGTTGTTTCCTTTGCACTGCGGAAGCTTTTTATCTTGATGAGGTCCCAATAGTTCATTTTTGTTTTTACTTCCCTTGCCTTTGGAGACATGTCAAGTAAGACGTTGCTGTGGCTGAGGTCAAAGAGGTTGTTGCCTGTTTTCTCCTCTAAGGTTGTGATGGTTTCCTGTCTCATATTTAGGTCTTTCATCCATTTTGACTTATTTTTGTGTATGGTGTAAGAAAGTGGTCCAGTTTCATTCTTCTGCATGTTGGTGTCCAGTTCTCCCAGCACCATTTGCTAAAAAGACTTTTTTTCCATTGGATACTCTCTCCTGCTTTGTCAAAGATTAGTTGGCCATACATTTGTGGGTCCATATCTGGGTTCTTTA